CAAAAGTCCTTCCCAAGAAAAAGTCCAAGAAAACGGTGAATGTTGTCCAAACCCAAGCTAGACTTCTTTCGATTGCAGAAGTTGAACGCAAGAAGAAGCTGAAGCTGGAGGATAAGGACAAGCAATGGAGCGAAGCAAAACTGAAAAAGAGACTCAGTCCCCGCCCAATTTTCAGCGTCAGCATCAGCGGACGTTCTAAAGACGGTGAAACGCTGGTCTCAATGCTCATCACCAGGGACAATCTTGATGCCGTTACCGAGTACCCTTCCTACCTTGGACGCTATGGATACAGCAAATGAAATGAAGATCAGACAAGCCATTCAGCAATCCATGTCGAGACACAAGACACTTATCGAGGACACCATCAACGAGCTCATCAAAAGGATGTCCAGGTATGTCAAGRTCCCTGAACGGCCAACTCTGAAGAAATGTGGGAAGAAGAATCAAAAACTCTATGATCCTAATTAAGAATCATCCCTAAGGAACGAACATGAAACAAGGTTCTCCTTAGATGAAATCCTGAAGGTTCATAAGAGTACAGACATTTCTATGTTGAATCTTGAGTTGCCAGATAAGGGTCCCTATACACCCAACTCTGTGCATTTTAAACCTAAGTTAGGGGTTATATTCCTTGACTATGAAGGTGAATTCAGATTTCAGATAATGTCAGAGCTACATCTATGTCCAATGGATCACTTGGTTTATATTTTGCTCTGAATAGATGATAGCATGCCTAGAAAAGTCGTAGATCTGAAGATACGAAGGGAATTCCTACGTCGAAGAAACCTTGGTGAAGATGTACCTGATTASATAGATCTAAGTGTTCTAGAATAAGATTCTCTTTRTAACAACAATCCACTTTTCCTTGTAAATTCTTGTATTATGTCTTCTTTCATTGATTGTACTTATATTCTGTAAGTTCTGGACACGTACTGTAATACTTGTATTATTTCCCACGATTAATAAAATGAGTATTCCATGTACTTCACTGAAAAAGATCCTTGAAAAAAGTAATAGGGACACAAGTCTAGGAGTTCCAATGTTACTTTTTGCATTCACTGACAATCTACGTCAGTGAATAAGCTTTCAGTTTCAGTTTCCGTACTTATAATTTTCTTATATATAACTTACGAAAAATTATCAAGTTCAAACTGATCAAACTGAAAAAGATCCCAAAATAGTAAAAAGGGACATGTATTTTATATGTAACTTTTTCCTTACTATTATTTGATAAGATAACCTTCTTTATGTTATCTTGTTATCATCAAATAGGGGGAGATTGTTGATCCTCTCTCTCGGTGATTTGATGATAATCTTTTTTTCTCTTTCACGTTGTATTTGTGTTTCTGTATTTTTCAGTTCCAGCGATCTTCACTGAGTATGTTCAKTRATCGCTGAAGAACTTGCATTGTAAATCTATCAGAGACAGCAATACTTCAAGAAGACAACACTCACACCAAAGAACCTTCAGCAAACGTCGAATACTGAAATTGAAGATTAGAGACCGACGAGTACGTGATCTGAAGCGATATTCAGTGATTACAAGTCTGTCTATACATGTGTGAAGATTTCTCAGGCTTCAGCGAATGATGATGAGACCTTCAGGTCATTACAGCATTCAGCGATCAAAGGAAGCCTGCTTAGCACTATTATTGTTGTCTTGTCCTTATGCACACAAAGGACAAAACCCATACCCTTACAAAAGTTAGTACGGTACGGAGCCGACTAGTCGACTTTTTGTCCACCAACTTTAGGTAAGAATGTCTGCTCAAAAATAGTGCTTCCGTACTATTCACTGTAGCAAAGGACAAGCCTTCCTCTCAAGGTTTGACACGCACTCTAAACCTACCATATTGCATTAAATGAACATTTAATGCACTGGATATAAATAGAAGTGTTTCTTCTCCATGTAGAGAGCGCGCATCTCTCTCTCTAACCTAATTCTTACTTCAAACATCTTCTAACTTAAGTAAATGATCTTTCTCTTAGCAACTTCTTTTCTTGTAATTGCTAAAGTTTTGTGTGTAACCAAAGATTGTTTAGATAGGTTTTTATTACCTTATCTTTCCACAAACAATCTTGTAAAATCTGTATTGATCTTCTTTATCAATATATATATATTTTAAATTTGAAAATACTGTGTTTGTATTCATCCCCCCCCCCCTTCTACAAACTGTTTCTCTTCTTGTAGACCCCCTTACGAGACCAACAATAACTCTTCAAACTTGTAACTCTGAAGTTAACTCTAAATAATGGCTCTTCAAACTTGTAACTCTGAAGTATAACTCTTCAGACTTGTAACTCTGAAGTATTTTTCACCCGAACTCTGAAGTCTTCTTTTTCATATCTCCGAAGATAAGTCTACAGACTTCCATACTTGGCCCAAATTGCTTTAATAAAACTATCATGATATTTAAGACAATTTTGATCATAATAGTTGGTATTACAAATTTGGATTTATAAACTTGATTTGATAATTTTCACCATGTAATTGCATAAAAGGGATTTCTCACTAGACCTTAAGGTCTAACCCTCATTTTGTGTTTCAAAAATGTGCATTACAAGTCGGGCTCAATCAAAGGTTAAAGGAAAAGAAAATTTGTGAGATGTCTTATATGCTTGCATGGGATGTGGAGGACATCATGCTTATATGTGGTCTTTTTGAAATATTTGTTATATATAGAAGTTTTGTATATGGATTTTGTGGAAAAAATTGTTAGTTACTTTTATAATGTAGCTTTTGTGTATTTGGGACCGAATATGTAAATTTGTATTTCTTGATACATGAAATACTTGGTTATATGAAAATATGATTCTAAGGTGTTATATTTTATCTTCTCACCAAATGTAACTTATTATATATACAATACACTTAAACTAATAACCAAAAGGTCTTTGGCCTAGCGGTATGTGAATCATTGGCCTCTTAAGAGATCAAAGGTTTAAAATTCACCAAAGGTGAGAAGTGTGTGAGAGTTTTGTTTGTTCTATTTACCGTATATAAATATTATATACTTCAAAAAAGGAAGAAAAAAAACTTAACATAATAATATATATAATGGATAATATATGTATAATAATTAATATATAAAACATTAATAATTATCAAAGTAAATCGTTTTTTTGTACTTGAAACATTTAAAATGTAAGTGTATTACCATCAATTAAGGAAAAGAATAATGTTTCATAAATGACTTACCCAATATACTTTATAATTCATTATTACAAATAAATGCATAATTATATCCATATGTATATATGTGTGTGTATATATATATATATATATATATGACATATTACAGAAAAGAAACGTAAATTAGTTCGAAAACCAGTAAATAATCCATGGCTACACGTTCCTTTTTCCTATGTACCCTCCTAACCTTGTCCTTATATCTCTATGGAATCACTGCCATCGACTACCAAGTGACCAACGACGTGCCAAACACTCCCGGTGGAATCCGTTTCACCAACGAAATCGGGATTCCCTACACAAAGCAAATAATGGCTACAACCAACTTCATATGGTCCGTCATCTTCCAACAAAACAACCCCTCCGACCGAAAGTCAGTAGATTCAGTGAATGTTTACATCGAAGAGTTCAACGAGCCCATAGCATTCACTTGGGACAATCACAATGTTAATTTCAGTTCCATTTATATAGCAGGGTTTAGTGGGGATGTGAAGAGTTTTTTCTTGTCTGTTATGTACCATGAAATGACCCATGTTTTTCATGGAATGGTGAGGGTACTACGCCTTCCGGACTGACAGAAGGGATCGCGGAATATACGAAATTAAAAGCAAACCTCCCGCAACCGGGCTTTGCAAAACCGGGTGATGGGGATAGGTGGGACGAAGGGTATGATGTCACAGCTCGTTTTCTCGAGTATTGTGATGGGATCACCCCGGGGTTCGTGGCAAAACTTAACACCAAAATGCGGGTTACTTACGATGTAAAGTATTTTGAATACTTGACGGGAAGTCCGTGGATCAACTATGGCAAGAGTACAAAGCTAAATATGGGCATTGATTCATCAAATGTATTGGAATTTAGTGGGATAACTGAATTTGTTCATTGTAATAATTCTTTTTGAAATTTTAATCAAAGTTATGCAATTCTATGTGGGAACGATCGAACATCTTCTCTAAGTTTTTTGGGGAAAATTTTTCAAAAGACGACAAGCATATTTTAGATATAGTTGAACACACAACATATTTTTTATATATGGTGGTACATTAAGCATAAGTCAAAGAAACGTGCTTAGATCTAGTTGAAAATACGGCGGTAACCGAGTTGAGCTGAGTTCAAGCTAGATTTGACCATGTTATGCTAAATTTGAAACTCGATTCTATGGCTGAACGAGTCTGGTTAATACAAGAAAGATTCAAGCTGGAATAGCTCAAAAATATTCTTTGGAACCTATGCTCAATAAAGCAACCTCAACTAGTGTCTAACTCAGATGGCAAAAGGGTGGGATGATTAACTTTGCCCAAATACAAGACAAGTCCTAGATTCGATCCCAGGGCCAACGTCTAGCCTCAGTTCCTAAGTGGGTCAAAAAATGTCCCTCACATTGGTGTTTTTGAAGACGGGTTCCGTGTGGGACAGGGGGTTACAGTAATCAACTTTTACCCAAATACAGCCAAAACCAACTTAGACGAATGTAACCACGATTAAATCAAATGACAACATAATTTCCAACATACTAATTACTATTGACATGGTTTAATGATAAAGAAATCCAAGTAAAGTATGGATTTAGTCGATTAAGCATACAAACATACTTCAGTTTTATATTAGTTATCAACCACGTACAAACGTATACACGAGACTCGAAAAGCTTAGTAAAAATTAGAGTCGAGTTCTTATGAACAGAAACTGACCTTGAATCGAATTCAATCTCAAATTATGCGATGAAGGTTCGTCATGGCTGCTTGGCATGCCTACTTGCAAATTGGTATGCTAGAACCAGTTGATTAGCAGGTCATAAATGATAAGCTTAATCACATTAAGGAATAAGATAAGTATACCCAATTTAACGAAGCAACATAAACTGATCAAGCCATTAGAGGACACACTAATAGCATCTAATTTGAGAAAGCTCATGTATAGTTGATCATCCTTGGAGTATTATTTGTTACCGTATTATGATCTGATGAAAACCCAGCTGCAATTGTCTTGTAGGGAAATCATACGTATTAGTACATTAAACAAAAACATAATGTATCCAAGTATATAACAAGAGGATTCAGAACTAGACTCTGTGTGGAATTTCATCGAACAGTTGGCGTACAACAAAAACACATCATGCCCCACCACATATCTCCTTCAGCTTACTCGCCGCAGCTTGATCAACAGTATACTGAAACAAAATTAAAAAACAACAACTAATTTAACATGATAAATGTTCAGAGAACCAGGAGAAATGAACGAAAACCGACCTTATTAAGCACCCAGAGAGAGTGATTGTAAGCGCGAAGGAAGAGCTCGTCGAGGGCTGCAGAATCATCGGCATCAACCTCTCTATAATTGACGAAGTTTTCTCGGGCGTATTTAGCGTAGTAAGGCCTGGAGTCAGCCGGAAGACGCCTCACCAACCGGAGGACCTCCCCGTAAATTCTTAGCGCTCTCTGCATCTCAGATCCGGCGTTGCGAGCTGTCACACAATTTCGGGTACATGAGCCTCAAGTGTGTTTTGGGCTTACTAATTAGAAATGGACTCAACTCGAATCTGGTCTCCAAAGAATGATTATGGCTGTTTGGGATTGCTTATAAAAACAACTTATTGATTTATTTCAGTGTGACATCGATAATAAGCATTTTTAAGTGTTTGGATAAACAACTTATACCGGTACCAAACCGGTAATAAGAAGTTTTTGAAGTTTTTGAAGAAGTTAAACTCTTCTGACTTATAATAAGTTGATAAGTACTTTTGTAGAAAAGCATAAGTTGTTTCAAGTAAGCAATCCCAAACACCCCTTAAGTAAGGTGCTCGTTGGTTGGTTTCTATTAAATCATATATGAATAAAAATGTGTATTGGATTAATTTGTCTGTATAGATCGAAAATGTTTTCTTTTGATAAAGTTTTTTTATAAATGAAATATGCGTGTTTTTTAATTGACAGAGACATATTTGGAAGAAAAAATTGACTTTTTATGTAAGGCTCTCCACCGGATGCTTACTGAATGAGACACTTTTTATACCATTAAGACTGACATTTGTTTTTTAAAAGATGTTGAAGTATGAATTATTATTTTAATTCTGGTTGATCATATACAAAAAATAACTAATCACCTAAACCTACCTTCCTTATGAAGTTATGAACCACAAAACATGCAATAATAACGTCTATTTGAACCTCAAGTGAAAACGGTTTCATTCTTTATTTAAAGTTTCTACAGTTTTTTGCTCTTAAATCATCATTCATACACGTTCTTTTTCTTTATTTATATGTATGTGGATTGGTGGTTGCAGTTTATGAATTTAAGTTTAAATTGATAGTTGATAATGTTGTTGCAGAGAAATTGCAAGACACATGTCTCTTCCTCCTGTGAAACTTCACTACAGCATATGCTTTGCAGAGGATGCCACCAAGGCAACAGTGAAAGATTTCTAGACTAAACGTGGTAAATCGGTTGTGCAATGTTTTTGACCAAAAGGGACAAACCTCAGGGACGAACCAGAAATCTAGAGCGGAGATTGATATACCTTAGAGATCGATTTGGTTGAGAAATCGATTTTGGTAAAGATCCATTTGGAGATCGAGAGCTTGAGGGATTGCTTGAGAACTGGATAAGTGAAGGCGTGTGTGAGCGAATAAAAGGAATTAAGGATTTAGGTTACCACTTTATTTTCCGGATGACTTTAAGGGATAAGATGATCCGAAAAAATAAAAATAAAAACAAACGTTCTGGATTTAAAAAGTTCTGAACAAATAAGTGATAATAAATGGTTAAGAGGCAAATGGTAAAAAACAAACAGGACCTAAGTCACTACCAAATGTATAAGTGACCAAATAAGTTGTGAGAATTAAGCTAATTAAGTTGCTAACAACATGCCCTAAACTCTTCTTCTTAAACCACATTTGCGATGGCGAATAAATAAATTTAATTATTTCGTTTATGAAGACGAAAACGTACGGGTTGTTTGACAGTTGCTAAATGGTTTAGTGCATGATGATTAAGTGATTAGAATGATTAAGAGGATCTCATGATATGGTGTAAAATGAAATATAATTGTTTGGTAATTGTTTACAATGAAATTAGGGCACTGAATGGTTAAGAGAGGCCCAAGATACAAAATCGTTCAGAGGGTTTTAGAATCATTAAGAGAACGACTTTTTTTTTTGTCAAACAAGATTCACCTCTTAATGATTCAGATGTTGTCTCTTAATGGAACTATTAAGAGGTAAACAAACAACACCTTAAACTCTCACTACTAGAAAACTAGGTACTATCGATAGATTTAGTGATGAAACTAGTCCCTTGCTAATCAGCGATGGATTAACGACATATAGGCACAAACTCATTTTTTCGCTAAAAAGGACCAAACCATTGCCAAAAGGATCAACAACCTGCCATGAAGGAGCTATTTAAACGCTTACATTCTAGAAAAGAATGGTCAACAAAGAGGTTTACAGCTGAGGCCAACGCAGGGGTCTTTGGACCAATGTCTATGGTCATAGCGGTCGAGTACAGTGACATGGAGTTATTAATGACGAGTTGTTGGCTCGACCAGAACATCATCACCTGGTTTCTAGCGTAAGTAAATATTTATATATGTCTTATCATTTAGTATATGTATTTCCACAATGTCCAATAATGTTATAATAATGTAATATTTTCAAGGATTTATATGTGCTTATATCTAAAAATCCAACAAACACATGTGCGTTTATCGTTCCAGGAGCAGTTAATGCCTCTGAAATCGAACGAGATGACCTTGGGGTAATAAACTCAATTTTCGCAACGATGATGCACAGAAAAGATGAGGATTTCTTTTTAGTACCATCTGGACAAGAGTAAGATATATTTTCACATCTAACTATATTTATAATATAAAAATATATAAGTTTACATTTTAAGTTGTATTGACTATAATTTTGAACATTTTTAAGAACAACCGGTCGCTGCTTACGTGGTCTATATATTACATTCGAGGATGTCAAGCGGAAAGACAACCAAATCTTACAAGATCAAAGACGTAATGATGCGTAAATACTATATCACATTGGTACATTTTATTTATATAATTAATCGACTATTAACAAATATGTATTGTTAATTTTATATTAGGGTCATCACAAATATAATAATGTCATAGGGTCTTGTCAGGCCGACATGTCCGCTTCAGTCATATGGAAGCTGAACAAGGTACAATTTATAAAATCTCTACAATCTATTTTGTACTTTGATTTGTCTAATCACTACTTTTTTACGCTTTGTTAAGCTTCTTTCATATATATATATATATATATATATATATATATATATATGTTGCACAAAGATATCTGATAACTGTGTATGAATCTGTATATTTGTACATGGTATCAACTAAAAACCACGTAAGATACCTGCTTTCATACATGGTTATATGCCCTTTTTAAACAACTTACAAACCATGTATGAAGATGAACATTGTACACGATTTTGGAATCGTGATGACTTTCATAAACACTAGCGTTATATGTGGTTGCAAAACCATGTACGAAGCCCAAAAGCAACCGTTTATAACAACATTTTCTGTAATACTGCTCGTTTGGTTTTTCATTAAATTATGTATTAATTAAGTTGGATGTTTGAATTTAATCGCCTGTATGAATATGACTAAATTGTTGTTCAATTGTTGTGTTAAATTAACTATCTTAATAATATAAAGGGAAAAATGCACAAAATAGCAATCTAGTTTACAAATTTCTTTATTATAATATTGTACTTTCAGTTTTCTTATTACAACAACTTACTTTCAAAATATTTTTTATTAGGATCGTACTTTTAAAAATTTACCCGTTATAGCATTGGGTAACCTTTTGAATTAAATTTACTCATAATACTAAGTTTCTTTGTCACATCATTGTCCACGTAGGCTGTCCACATGTACGATAGTGCTGACATGACATTTCTTATTATAGCATTGTACTTTCAAATATAATTTATTATAACATCACCAATTTTTATTACAGCATTTTACTTTTAATTTTAATATTTTTATCATTTAAACATTGTAAATTTAATGAAATATGTTTACTAAAAATTATAATATCAGAAATTAAACATGTTTACAAAAAATCACTATTTCATGAATAAAAATATTCTTAAAAAACCATTCGTTCATTGAGTTCATCATAAATTTCATGGCTTACTTTATAATATCAAAAACTAAACAAATGAAACATCTTTTCAGGTATTTGTTTTTGCTCTTTTTCTTTAAATATCTTAACGATTAAACTTTATTAAACATTTAATTTGATTATGAGATAGGATTTTAAATAATATAGGCTTGATTATCTTATCTATACAACACAATCCAATTTTGAGTCCTTACCTGCCATGAAAACGATTGCCTCTACTTTGTCCAGCACACTCGCCAATTTTCAAACCATTTTTACAGCTGTGATTGGGGATCTTGTGAGAAGGAGAGGGAATAGAAGAGATATGAGCAGGGGCTTTTTTTGCAGGGCAGGGGTTGATGGATAGAACCACAAAGGGACATTGAGACCTCTTTTTTTTGTTAAATGAGGATGGGCAAAGAGGCCAATTATCAAACGTTTACCCGTAGAAGCACTTATCATATCATATTACTTTATCGGACGAATATGGTAAGGACAAAAAAATCTTATCCGGTAAGTGAGGGCGACAACTCTTAACACGGTTAGCCACTACTAAAAAAAGGGTATCACCGACGGATTTTTCTGGTGGAATTTCCGTCGGAAATATTCCCGACGGATCCCAAAAAAGTCAAACAAAGTCAACTTTTATTCATATTCGCCACAGATCCCCCACAAATCCCCCACTAATTTTTTTGGAAAAAAAATTAAAATTATTTAAAACGGTTTTTCAACGGATTTGTGACGGATTTTATACTCATTCAAAACCGTCACAAATCCGTCGGAAATCCGTCGCAAAATTTGCCTAATTTATTTAAATAAATTAACTAGCGTTAATCAAAAACAATTCCGACGGATTTCCGACGGAGTTTAATTTTTAATAAAAACAAATCGAATTCCGTCGGAAATTTCAAAGAAAAATTGGTTTAATTTTAATTTTTTCCAAGTTTAAGTTATTATAAACTTTTTTATTAAATATTACCAACGGAGTAGTCGTATGTTCAGTTACATTTAATGGATCTATTGGCTTTATTCGATTCAATTGGACTTTCATATATATTATTGGGTTTTGGTAAACTGCTATAAGTATTATATAAAAAAGGATATATTGGTAAAAACTTGGGATTAAAGGAAAAATAAAAGCCTCTTCAAACTAACCAAATAAACTTTTGATTTTTAGATTAAGGCATAAGAGAAGAGTCATTCATGACTGAAGAAATAAGTTGTATTGGCTGTATAATGTCTTAAAGCACAACCAAAGACTCTGCAACTGATGTTAACAAATAGACGGATAATTTTAATTTTAATTTATGAAAGAAAAAAAATAAACATAGACCAGTCATCGATCCTAGAGATGACTGTCATCCCACATGTACCAGCGACACGTGGCAGCTTGTGTACCTCCCACCTGCATGCATGCCTCAATATTCCACGTCCGTCACTATCCATCTATTTAACACTTCATTTAATCCGTTTTATTACAACCAATTACCTAAATTTATGTGTCACTTATTAAATGTTTCTCTACTATCATGTTATTTGACAATTATTAAATGATTTGGTACATAATGATTAAATAATTAGAATGATTAAAAAACTTTTATAATATAGTGTAAAATAAAATATAATTATTTGGTAATTGTGTACAATGAAATCAGAGCTCTTAATGGTTAAGAGAGATCCATGATACAAAATCATTCAGAGGGTTTTAGAACCATTAAGAGGCAGACTTTTTTTACCAAACAAAATTCATCGCTTAATGATTCAGATGTTGTCTATTAATAAAACTATTTAGAGGTAAACAATCAACCCCTAAGTGTTTATCGAGTGTTACTTATCTTATTGGATGAGTATGATAAAACATTGAATCTTATACAATAAAAAATATAACAATAAGCAATAATCTTATCTGAATCTTAATTATCTATATCATTGTTTTCATGATTTTTAGTTTTTAATTTCAAAGTTATTGTATTCCCAAAAAATAAGATAAATAACTCGAACACAACTTCTCACATGTAAATAAGAAACAAACCAATAAACTAACGATAATTTTATAGAAAAAAAAATATAATTAACCATTAAAAATGTGAACCAAAGAAAAGATACTTGGCTCAAGAGCTTGAGGGTCACGTAACAAAAATCCACATCGCAGCCATTAATGCATGCAGATGAAACCAAATAGGAATCGAAACAAGTGACTGCAAACCACCAACACTTCTTCTGCGGCCATAACCACCTCCAAGTTATCCGAATTTCAGTCACTCGTTTACCCTATTTATATAACCTCATCACCCTTCATAGTTTACACTTCTAACCCTCATCTTCACCCTAAACCCTTCATCAAAATGGACCTATGGTCATGGATCTCAGACCTACCTTACTCCGACGACTGGTCATCGGCCGATTCTAGCTCTGAACTCACCTTCCATTTGGCGAGTTCAACACCCGACCGACTCAGCAAAACTGATCAGACGACTGCGTACACCACTACTGATGATAAGTCTCTTCAGTTCAGAGCAAGAAGAAAGTTCACCTCCAACTCGGATCTATTGGCGATCACCTTCTACGTTTCCTACCAAGAAAAGGCTCTCTGGGTTTCTGACACGTGTCAAGTGAACTCAGACAAGACCTTCTTGCCTCTTGTACTCCAACTCCTCCAGGAAACCATTTCCCGTTCACCTACGGCGCATGATAGTATCACCACCACATGCCCGCGTTCCCAGCTCCAGAAGCTTAAACCCGACTCGGTTGCATGGATTCTCGACTCTCACTCACCGGAATCCTTTTCAAGCTTTTTCAACCTCGTATTCCTCGCGAGGCTGTTCTGGCTGTGTGCCTGCGACGCGCCGTCGGAGGTCGGTTCTCTTTATTTCAAATCCATTTTGACTCCTAACATCGAAGCGTTTTCGAGTACCCAATCGCCGGTGTTGCGGGCTTTCTTTGTTTCCGCCGGCATCGACGTGGAGCTCTGTATCATGCGCACGTTTGGGTACATGTTAACAAAATGGTTGATGTTAAGAGAGGTGGGGGTAGGTTTACAGCTGCTAACGCCGTCTTATAACCTCCGATTCTCCTACGCGGGGGAGACGCATGGGTTATGGGTCTTGAAAGGGTACGCACCGTTGATGGCAACGACGCGCTGCCATTCCAACACGGTAAACAACGGGTATCCAGTATTTGAAGCGAAGGAGTCTGTGCTAAAATACGCACTGGCCCACCAACAGATTGAGGCCGTCATTCAATTGGAATATTCAGTGGAATTCAAAGAAAGTTTCATCCTCGTGAATGCACGTGTCGACAATATACGGATCCACGTGGCAAAACTAGGGTTCAGTAAGAAAGAAGAGAATGGTTACATGCATGAGAAACATTTCCCAAGTCGGGTCCGGGTTTGGATCGGACCTGAAATCGGGGCAAGTTATGTAACCGGTTTGACGTTGGGCCGGTCTACTGATAACATTGAGAAAGAGACGGAAACACAAAAGATATTGAAGGGTAGTTTTGGGAAAACAAAAGTTCCGAAGATGAAGACGATGACCAGGACGACAACAAGGACAAAGGTGAGGACGTGGCGATGGGACCAAGATTCTGATGGGCACATGGCAATATTTGATACGACGTTATGTGACAACACAACAGGTGTTGAGATTGCGACGTGGCAACCATATTCTGGAGATGATGTTGGTGGTGGTGGTGGTCGTGGGAATAGTGATGAAGTTGGGCAAAGTTTTCAAAAACGATACACGGGGGCAAATAGGTCATTTACTAAATCCGGGAATTGGGTATTTGGTGAAGGGTTAGAAGGGGTAAAATGGAGATTGAACAAGGAAATGGAAGGGAGTGTATTGAAATGGAGGATTGGAGGTCAAATTTGGTTAAGTTATTTCCCAAATCAGGTAAAGAGTTCATATTTTGAAACAAGGTGTGTAGAGTGGTGTGATGAGGTAGATTTGCCTTTAATCCTTGATGCATATTAATTAACCTCATTGTGTATATAGGATATGTGTTATGTGCTTAATTATATGAATGGCGCAACAAACGTTGTAAATTAAAATTATATGTATTGAATAATTAAAGTTATGGTTGATATGTGTTAGTTTTCACTAGAATCAGATGTTGTTAATTTAGGTTTAAGGAATTACGTTACTCCGTGTTATAAGAATTAAAATTTTCAAAATAAACGTAAGTTAGATAAGCAATTAAGAAACAAGTTGGGTGTTCGATGGTTAAGTTATAAGTTTGTATCAATAAGTACTTAATAAATAAAGAAGTGTCAGAGCCAACTAATTATGAACATTGTTATTAATATAATATCTAGTGAATTTAAGTAGTTTTTATCAGTTATATAAAGCGGTAAAATGGAAGGAATATTATTCAAATTACAATTTCTAATCATGAGATGCATTTAGAATAAAAAGAGATGTCTTTCCCAAAACCATAATTTTCGTGATAAAACACTTAGAATGAAAATGTCCCAAAAATTGTGAAACCAAACCCAATACTCATACCAATTACAAGTAGGATTACAATTCAAGTACTAAAAACATGGATATAACTCTTTTATTCAATACTTTAATATATGAAGAGGATCCAATATATCAAAATCATAAATTACGGTTTTTTGCCAAAACCCAACAATATAAAAAAACAGGGATAATACATTATTGAAATAATAACATTTGAAGGAAAAAGTTAAAATAAACTTTAAAACCTTAATCTTAATGTTGTGTTTTTTCAAAATCTTTTTTTTATGGAGGAAAGTGAAGAAAACTAAAAAAACTTGTGTTTTCAAAATTTAAAAAAAAACAAAAAAAAAATAATGATTAATTATCTCCCAAAACTTGAAATTAATGAAAAACAATTAAAATTCTTTAAAAATATTATTAAAATTAAAATCTATCCAACATTTCATTACAAATAATATATCTCAAAAGATATACTTGTTAACATATTTTCTCCCTTTTTTGTTTGTTTAAAAACATGAAAAATTATTTTTTATCTTTTTCTTCTCTTTTAAAAACATAAATTAAAAATTATTATTTTTTTTACATTTTTTTTCTTTCGGAGACACGACCTTTAATTATTCAGGAAATTGGTCCAAATGGCTAGATTTTACAACCAAGTTAACTTCCTAACAATTTTGTCGTTTATTGGACCTGAATGTTATGGATCTACTGACTTTTGAAAGTAGTCCGAAAAAATGATTAAAAGTTAAATTTGGTTGTGAAGTGTGGTAATTTCAAATAAAAAATAATTTCCGAAGATCGAGTGGGTATTATTATCTTAGCGTAATCCAGGTTAGCCGTGGAACCAGGGATTTGAGTAATCTCCATTGATAACGCAATGGAAGCAAGATCAAGAAAACACAGGACCCACTCTCCCAACACCGACAGAGAAGAGGACCCACTCCATACACACAAACAGACCCAGTCTCGAATTCATCAAGACATTGCTCACAACCTACCCCCTTCATCGGTTTTCTTGTCTTCTTCTTGCAGCATTTACTCATGGGTCATCACCCTTCACGGGTCGGGTTAACACCACCCACCCAAATATGTATAGACACAGAGAAACTAGAGAGAGAAAGCTAGAGAGTTTAGGTGCCATTTTTGGGTGAAAATGGAAGACAGTAATGAAGAATGGGTGATGGTCAAACCAATTTCAGATAAAGATCTATGGAATCCATCGTCATTTTCCAATGAACCAGACAAGAAAGCTTTGAAGGTTAGGTTCAATGGGGCAGCTAAGCACTGGACTGATGCTCTTCCCATCGGGAATGGCCGCCTTGGTGCTATGGTTTGGGGTGGCATTTCCTCTGAAACCATCAATCTCAATGGTAAACGTTTCTTTTTTAATTACACATCTTTTAGGAATTTTCAACAAGGGTTTTAGGTTTTACCCATTTTAATTCTTTTTATTTTTCTTGAATCTTGAAACGCCATTGTTGTTGTTGCAGATGATACGCTGTGGACAGGGGTTCCTGGGAACTACACGAACCCAGATGCCCCTGAAGCATTATCAGAGGTCAGAAAGCTTGTGGATGATGGCAAATATGCTGAAGCTACTACAGAAGCTGTCAAATTATCAGGAAAACCATCTGATGTATGCTTTCTTTGCTATATTTCTTATGTGATTTACATTGTTTTCTTTATCGACCATTTGCATCTGCAATGAGCACTTTTCAAAGATTTGAGACGTAGGGCGATACACATTGTATGTAGAAAGAAGAGCTCCAAATATAATCTCATAATTTCAAACCTTTATATATATATGTAGAAACCTCCCATAAGGGTTCTTTTAAACAGTGATTCAAAGGGTTCCATGTATTCTCGCATGGTATCATAGCCTAGCACCACATCTAGGGACCCGGCACACTCTTTCGCCTCCCTTTTTGGGGGCATTGCTTAACGTTTGTTTGAGGGTGTGTTGGAGTCGTACATTTGCTAGATATTGACCATCAAACCTACATATATCTAGGAAGGGAAGTCTTTGCGTGTTATCCTTCTCTTGCATTGTCAAGATTCGGTTTCTTTTACTTGAACAAATGACCTTTCGGTCACGGAGGAGTGACCTTGCTAGTTGTTCCAAGTCCCCCAGTGGATATGAGGGTTGGTTCCGGTGAGAACAACCCCTTTTCACAGAAACAAGTGAATGTACCCTTATAGTTTTCTTTTGGAAGGGGGCTGCCCCCAGACTAATCCCAGAAAATTTAGGGGCCACAGTTGTTGTGGATGCCTGGAATCGAACCCGGGGCAGATGGGATATCACCATATCCCCCTACCCTAGCCTCAACAACTATGCTATAACCCTTGTGGTTTACCAAATCAAGTGAATGTGCTTATAGTTTGCCGTGAGAACTGTGAAAGTACCCTTGTATTATGTGGAGATTACAACCTTCGCACAATATAGCGTAACCTTCATAACGCAGTTAAATGTGATGCGAATGTTACAATTTTCAGACAATATAAGAATACCTTTACTTGTTCTCACGGAAGTGAAAAATTCTTACATGATCCCGACTCATGAATATCACGAACCAAATCAAGCCGGTGCATACATTTTCTTTTTATTTCTTTTCTTAAGCTCTATGTTGGATCCATAGTAAAGCTGTTTCTCCGTTCCCTTTCATGCTAAACTTTATCATTTTAGTGTAAAATGACCATACGAGTTAAATCTAATCCCGCTCTTGTAATGATGAAGGTATATCAACTTTTGGGAGATATCAACCTAGAATTTGATCATGATCTTGCTGCATACGATGATAAAACGTATGAAAGAGAGTTGGACTTAGATTCAGCCACGGTGGAAGTCAAATACTCCGTGGGTGAAATAGAATTCACAAGGGAACATTTTGCTTCATATCCTGATCAAGTGATTGTGGCCAAGATTTCTGGAAGCAAATCTGGTTCTTTATCCTTCACTGCATCCCTTAGCAGCAAGCTACAATATAATTCTTACGTAAACGATCAAAAACAGATCATTATAGAAGGACCATGCCCTGGTCAAAGGAAACCACCGACACTTAATGCTGAAAACGACGATAAGCCCAAGGGAATACAATTTTCCGCAATTCTTGATTTGCAAATTAGTGATGGCACGGGAACCATAAGTGTTTTGGAGGAGAAGAAGCTTAAGGTCGAGGGGTGTGATTGGGCCGTCTTGCTTTTGGTAGCGTCATCTTCATTCAAAGGGCCATTTATCAACCCTTCGGATTCAAAGATTGATCCTACCTCTGAGTGTTTAAACACGTTGAAGTCGTTAAGGAACTTTTCGTATTCAGAACTTTATGCTCGTCACGTGGATGATTATCAGAAGCTATTTCATCGTGTCTCACTTGAACTTTCGAAAAGCTCGGTTAGTGTCACGGGTGATGAACCATCTTTAACTGTCACAACGGCAGAGAGGGTCAAGTCTTTTAAAACGGATGAAGATCCTTCTTTGATCGAACTTTTATTCCAATACGGACGTTATTTGCTGATATCGTGTTCACGCCCTGGAACCCAACCGGCTAACTTGCAGGGTATATGGAATGATAAAGTTGAGCCCCCATGGGAGTAAGTTCTTTTGGTCTCGTAAATTTTTGTAAATTGATTCGAAATTTTGAAAAGGTGAATGTTTGCCAAATACCGTGTTCAGTCAAGCCTTCACCTTTCTGTAAAATGCAAACATGAACTAGTTTAAGGGTGCGTTTGGTGCATGGGACAGGACCGCACAAAAACTTGTTATCCCACTCTGGCATGACATTACACCGGGACAAGATGGGACTCGAGTGGGACAAAAATGCATTTTTTTTCTGTCCCACCAAAATAGGTGGAACAAAAATCCGGGAGACGAGACAATTTTTTTACTAAACTACCCATGTTAAATTAAAACCATGAAACCTTCTGCAATTCTTTCACCCGTCTACCTCGCCCCCGCCCCCGCCATTCCAGTCCAGTCCAATTTCATCTGTATACCAAACGCACCCAAGGTTTTATTGAGAAGTTACACATGGGCAACTTATTTTCCCTTATTATACAGCGGTGCTCCTCATCTGAACATCAATCTCCAAATGAACTATTGGCCTTCTCTTTCGTGCAACCTGCACGAGTGCCAAGAGCCATTATTCGACTACATTTCATCTCTGTCCGTCAATGGAGCTAAAACGGCTAAAGTAAGATGATTTTTTTTATATTGTGGCATTTTCCCGCTTGGTTAACTGTTGTTTCAGTAAAAAAAAACCCGAGTTTTGCAGGTAAACTATGAGGCCAGTGGATGGGTTACACATCAAGTCTCTGATATCTGGGCCAAAACATCCCCAGATCGAGGCGAAGCTGTGTGGGCTTTATGGCCGATGGGAGGAGCGTGGCTTTGTACCCATTTATGGGAGCATTATACGTATACAATGAACAAAGTAAGATCGGGGTCCTGTTTCTAGTTTACTTCACTACATGTTCTCTTATGTATCGGAGTCCTAAACACTAAACCCTATAAAACAGTCTACTCGCAGATTTGTTGTCCTCTAAAGCCGATTTTGTTGTAGTGGTTATTGGTTCAGTTTTTGACGGATATATAGATATATGAGCATTATAATACGAATCATTTAAGTGCTAATATCAATTCAACAAATAGGACTTCCTAGCGAAGAAAGCATATCCATTGCTAGAAGGATGCACCTCATTCCTTTTGGACTGGTTGATTGAAGGCCGAGGAGGTTATCTTGAAACAAATCCGTCAACGTCTCCGGAACATATGTTTGTTGCTCCCGATGGTAAGCCTGCAAGCGTCAGCTATTCAACAACAATGGACATATCAATAATAAAAGAAGTGTTCACGGCCATCGTTTCTGCTGCGGAGGTAATAATCGACATTACGGATTTTGTCTTTCGCCTTTCCAGGACTAATAAAAACGCTGCAAATTGACAGGTTTTGGGAAAAACTACAAGTGATCTGATTCAACGAGTTCTTAAAGCTCAACCACGGCTTCCGCCAACAAAGATCGCTAGGGATGGTTCCATTCTTGAATGGGTATGTCTGATTTGTGTTTTTTTTCCTTCCTGGTGATGTCTGTGCAGATACAGGCTCATAGAAAATGTTTCTTTTTGCACTAATGCACCGGATCCTTTCAGAACCCTGTGATTATGCAAGCTTAGGTGAGAGTAGTACTATGGTGAGGGAAAACCGTTAATTTTTTTGACAATTTAATTGAGCAGGCACAAGATTTCGAAGATCCAGAGGTGCATCACCGACATGTCTCGCACCTATTTGGACTTTTCCCAGGGCATACGATAACCGTTGAGAAAACTCCGGATCTTTGTAAAGCTGCAGACTACACTCTTACTAAGAGAGGTATGCATATGCTCTCTTTCTTAATAAAAAAAAGGGGGAAATATTTAGAAAGTGTGAAAGAGTAGGTCAAAATATGAGTTTCGAAGTCAAACAAAGTTTATTACGACCATAGAAATACTTCCCTCGTATATTTAGAAGTTGAAGGTTAGTCCTTTTGACATCAAAAAGTCGAAGGGTACAAGTGTCCCTGCAAAATACAATCAAAAGCATCTTTCAAAGCCTAAAGACTCAATCTTTTCCGTCTGTGACAGGAGAGGAGGGTCCTGGATGGTCGACTACATGGAAAGCTGCTTTGTGGGCTCGGCTTCACAACAGCGAGCATGCATACCGAATGGTCAAACATTTATTTGACTTGGTTGACCCCGATCGCGAAAGTGATTATGAGGGAGGTCTGTATAGTAATCTATTCACCGCGCACCCCCCTTTCCAAATTGATGCCAACTTTGGGTAAGACCATCTGCATCACTGCAATTACACCTCAATTTCTTATACTGTCGCATCATCTTTAGCAATTACTCTGAATTAGATTACGTTCGGCATCAGCAATTTCTTAAGTGTCACATCAGCTTAAAAACGATATCTTAATCAATGAATCTTGGTGGTCTAAGGTTTTGTGCAGCGATAGCAGAAATGCTGGTGCAGAGCACGATGAAGGACTTGTACTTGCTTCCTGCACTTCCTCGTGATAAATGGTCAAATGGTTCGGTGAAAGGATTGAAGGCTCGTGGGAATATGAAAGTTAGTATCTTGTGGAAGGAAGGCGGTCTTCATGAATTTGGTCTCTGGTTATCTACGAACTCCGACTTAAAGAACTCAGAGGAGCAGCAGAATTCTACAAGAGTGCACTACAGAGGAAGTAGCATCACAACCAAATTATCATCTGGGAAAGTATACACATTCAATAAGCAGCTAAGATGCATAAAGACAGCATCTTTGTTGGATTTATCATTCCATCTTTAGCTTCCAAGTTCATACCAAGGATTCGAGATTCGATTTTGATGAGAATTGTGTTTTTGGCCGGAAAATATGCATAATTTAGTGTCGTTTTCGTTGATCTAAGTTTTTCAGACACGAAAATGTTGAAACCCGCAAAGACGACTTGGAAGGAATCAATAACAGAACTTCATGGGATTGTTGCTGGTTCTTGCAAATTAACACTTGGATTAACGTTGATGTATCGATAAAATATTGTGGTGTTGTTTCACATTGTGAAATGACGCATGAGTTTAATGGTGAAGTGTTGTTTTACACCGTGAAATAATACAGTGTCACCGATGTGAACGATGTAGAGTTACATACTCTGAAACAACACATGTTTGATCTTGTCGTCACACATCACGCTATTTAAAACCTTGGTTTGTTGTTTGCATCGACTTTGGTTCTCATTTTGTAACATTTAAGAATCAAAATTATTAATTTAGTTATGAGCCTCTGACATGTAACCCAGTTGATAAAAGAGTGAGATGACTTTATCCAAATATAAGACAAGTTTTGAAGTTGTTGGTAATCAACCTCTTGTCTGAATTTAGTTCTTATTTTCTGACATTTAAGAATCAAAAATATTAATTTAATTCTGATTTTCTAAGATTTAATAAAAAAATATTAAATTTAATAAAAACATTTAAGAAAATGTTGTCTGATTTTTGGTAATATGTTTGTTTTCGTTTCAATAAAAAAAATTATATTTAATTAATAAAAAAAATAAGAAGGAAAAAAAAGAGAAAAAGGAGAGAAGAAGAAGAAAGTAGCCGACGAAAGAAACCCTAAAAACCCTTGGCAAGAGTCCTTCCTTCCTGCTTGTGATTCTGAGAGAAATGGCATGGCGTGGTTCCATCTCCAGGGCATTGATGTCCACCGCAAGGACTTCATCTTTCCGCTCTACTGCTCCCCTCCCTCGCCTCCGTCCTCCGCCGATTTCGGCTCCCCGCCTTCACTCCCGCCGCCTCGGCAACCCTAGGTATGTTTCAACAGCAATTTCTTCTTTTTTGGTTTCGACATCTTATCTCTTCCTACTGTTTGTTTTCTAATGTTGACATTTCGCCATTGGATCTCTAGGACCTTGGGAGAATTAGGATGCGCACAATCTCTGTTGCCGCTGGCTGCCGGAGTGCGACTGACGTCACATCTCACTGTCAATGTGCGCGCGTTTTGCGAGCTGTCTCATGGTACCTTCTGCCGCTCTTGTCAGGATCGCTAGTAGTGAGTTTTTTACTGTTTCTAGGACACACATGCCGATTATCATCTTCTACACTCAAGCTGCCTGAATGAAATCAATATTAATAGTTTTTAAATCCAAGTTATTAGTTTTTAGGTATACGGCTTATTCAATTGTGTGATGTTTGCTGCTAAATTGATTAACCTGTGAGCAGTTTGAGTGGTGTGTCTGTTTAGATTTTTACCTTCATTCATAAGAAGCAACGGGATTGGGATTTTTATTTATTGGTAGGGTGGAATGGAAAAGATGGGTGATATCAAGCAATTCCAAGCATCAAAAGGCAGTTCAGACATTCAACATCGTAGGTTTCTTATTTTTACCCTTTCAATCCTTTCTGTAACCTTTACCATGCTGCATGACATAAAACTTCCGGATACAGACGTAATCCTTTTAAGGTTCTTTTTATGAGCTCAACTTGGGATGAAACCTTTCTCTTAGGTGGCATTCTACACATCAGCAATAATGATGATATTGGTCTATCTTGCATTTCAATTAGTTCATTGAATTGGAAGATAAAGTCTTGTTTGTATACTTTAAATAAGTCTTATTTTCTGGTGTCTAGTTGACTTTTAAAGATTTATTTTTTTGTAAATTTGATACATGCACTATAGAATTTCAGTAGACGATTGCAAAAGTGGAGGATGAATTTTTCTATGCCTAGCTCCATATGCTTGCAATATGGTGCTTTTTGCATGCTTAAATACTGATCTCTTCTAACAAATGATGTGTTCTTCTTATGGTTCATATCACACATTCACACTTGATAATAGATCAATGGCATGCATATCGCTCCCTTGAATGACATTTTGAAAGGTATGGGTTTCTCTAAAGGAAGTGTTCAGCCATTGACTATGGGAACTTGTGTGCATGGTCCAATAGCATCTAATCATCTAATAAGTTGTGCTCGTGGGTTTTATAGGCGATTGGGTAAATGATTTAATGTGATGTCTGGAGTTCACTAGACTTGACATAGCTCATTTACGAAAAAGGGCAGGAGCTGCAAGTCACTGTAGAGTTACCTAATTTGCTTAAGATTGCAATATTAATGGATCATGTGAACCAAAATATGTCATGTTCACTTATTGGAGTGTTTCATCCTAGCCATGGACAAAGTAGATAGAATAATCCCCAAACTGTGAATGGTAAAGGTGATGGCATAATGGCGTTTCAGATGATGACCAGTATGATGAGTTCCAACTAGTGATGTCGAAATATTGAACATAGAATAGGGAGTGTTTGGATGTGTGTCATGAAATTATCTGATAATTGCGACTTCAAGTCACAATAACCAAACTTTAATGTTCAAGTAAACTGATTTTGCTTCTGATTATCTAAGGGTAGAATAAATTACTTATTTACCCCCCTTCTTTTAACCTAATTTGGGAGATTTTAGTTACATTTCATAATATGATTCACATTTTCTTCTCCACGACACACCAACTGTCTTTCTAAGTCATTTTTGTTAATTTCTTAAAAAAATTAAAATTTGTCAAACATTCAGACAAATGAACTTTTTGTCATTACCACTTCAATCAGTTGAAGAAATCCAAAGATCATCTTCTACATCAATTTTTTATTACAATTTGATATCGATTTTTGATTATTTGATAATATCACATAATCACTTTCAAAATGCACATCCAAACACACCCTAGAAATATGATAGCACTAAGCTCATCTTCTTGCATGTCGTACACACAAACCTATCTAAAGTGGCTTAATATTGGTTCATGGTTTAGTGATCTAGATCTAGCAGCAAGATAACACATGGCAAAGAGCTATCAGTGCAAAAAAGACTCCAAGGTTACAAAGCCAAATTGTGAAAGACAAATTAATTGCGTGTTGGAGTTTAGGACGCCTGTGTAGAGATAAGTACCTAAAGATTATCTGTATAAGTTGGTAAGGTTCAGCAGTCTTTTTTAGTTCCACTTTCATTGTAGCTCTAAGTGGTCAGTGGCCTTATTAATTTATTGAAACTCAATGCTAGTTTCTCTCAACAGCTTAGTTTGTGGATACACAATATGTGGCAACTTTTCATTTGGTTTCTAGTGGTGGGAGTATTCTATTTTTGCTAGCTTGTCAGTGGAGAATTATATGTATTTTTTCTGTGTTGAAATTCCCTATCCGTTTGTTCTCTTCTACTTGAAGTTTAACTTGAGACTTGATATGTGATACCTTACATCTCTTTCTTGTACTTGAACCAAACGCAATTGAAAAGAGCTATATGTCATAGGCGACTCATGCCTAGCTTTCATACAAGTTTAGGAGTTGTATTCTATTAAATCCTGCACAACATGATTACACTTGCCTGCCAAGGGCTGGGTTCCGGCGTGAATGGAAGTTATGGTGAGAAGACGATAAGAAAGGCTCCCCCCTGGATCAATCCTAATTGAAGATTAACACTAATGAGGTGCACCAGACCCATTCCCATGAGAAGCGCAATTCATGGGATGGGGGTGAGATTAGAAGTGATCAAGGGTCCAGATCCCATTTTACTTCTCACCTTAACTCATGTTCTCACATGATCCTTCGTCTGCCTGCCATTAGCCCATTACATCTCCATCTTAAGCCTCATGAATAAATAACGCATCTTTTTCGAGTCCTCTTTCATCATCTCATCTTCATCTTATAACGATTGAAAACCAACTTCAAAAACATACACCATTATACTACTGTTTCTTGGAATTTAATGGATTTTGTACCGATGCAGGTACTTGAATGCCATTTGATTAGGCAAGAGTTGCAAAGAGTGTTGGAGGCAGTCATAGGAAGTGGGTGGTCATCCACCAAAGCACTTTGTCTTTGGAATTGAAACATTTTTAATAAGATTAGATTCTGTTTTTGGCATCCTGTTTTGTGACATGTAGAGTATGTAGGTAATTCTCATTCATATTTGGATTTTAAAGGTTGTTTTATTTTTGCACCACAAGTGTTTTTGTCAAGTTTCATATATATTACAGATTCGGGTGGGAATTTGGAATTGCCCACAAGAGATGTTAGCTGCAATTAGGTTCGAGTTTGGGATCGCATCCTTATTTGCGTTACCAAACTTGCGTTGGAATGATTTATATCTTCAGTTACGTTAATACAACAGCCGTAACATGCTTTATTAGCCTTCTTTTAATTGAAAATATTGTGCATTTATGCTTGTATAATTGAAATCTAAAGCCAATACGTTTTACCAAAGGGATGATTACTTGGTTAAAAAATGGGTGAAAAGTTTGCACTCAGCCTTGGAGGTAACTAAAGCGGTCCCAAAACGAAGCCTGTATGAGGCCTGCCACGGTTAGACTAACCAACGCTAATGCTAGGATACCCAATTATGATGGTATGGTTCGCCCCAAAAAAAGATTCAGAGACATGAGGTCGGGCTGGGATGTATTTGGTACAATGGACATTCGAAAGAATGAAATTGTGAACGTAAGGAAGAGGAAGTTTACGTGTCTCACAGATTTGTATGTTTTAGTTTGGCGGTTTTGTATGCACTCTCACTTGGAAGAAAAATACCAAGAATGAAACGCACACATGTAGACGTAAACTAAAGTAAACCAACCGAATCCAATATATCTCATCCAAAAGTAGGTGTAAACCAAACCAAACGGATCCAGTACATCTCACTCAAAAGTAGGGATCTTACTTGCAAGCAACCGCCAGGCACAAACTTGTCCACCCGACATTCCAACCCATACAACATTTGGTTTAATGAATACCCGAATAGAGTTTGCACTTCGATTTTAACATGAACTTGCGACACATCACCCTATTGCCATTATGCAGTCATCCTTAATCTCTCTCCCTGAACCATATAGCCTAAGTAATTAGAAACTGTCTTTTTAGGTACCCTTTGCTACCTATATTAACTTAGGGGCCGCTTACTAAACATTAGGGGTGTGCAAAAAGTCATTTGATCCACCTTTAAACCGACCTACAATAATCGAATATCCGATTACAATCGAAACGAGTCAGATCCAAAACTTCAACATCCAAATCAGATCAGTCGATTCTTGAAAGACAATCCAACATCCAATAAAACCTAACCGATCCAATCCAATGACCATCTAATTATCATCCAACTAATATCCAACTAATAACTATATATCATTATTACTTATTAGCATTTTACGATATATTTTTTAGTTGATATTTGTGTATATTGTTTTTTAATATCTTAAAAACATATATGAATAATTGGTGGAAGTGATGAATTAATTGGTTGAGTATTGGATTAAAAAATTGGATGAATCCAATCCAATCCGATCCAAGGATAACCAATAGTAACATCCAACAAATGGAACCGATATGATCCAATCATCCATTGGAATTGGATCCGATTGGATGTCCCCTGTTAATCAGATCGCACCGGATAACAAAATCCAACATCCAATGGATGGTTGGATTAGATCGGATCGGATCCACCTAAATCCATTGGATTTTAACCCATGAACACCCCTACAGTAAACACTTACCCGGTAAAAGCTTACAGGGTGATTTACCTTGGCGGATAAACATGACAAGAGCCAAAAATCTTACCCGGTAAGAGCGATGATAAGGATAGATACTCTTACACAATAAGCACTAAATGGGTAAATTGTTGCATACGACACTGTTTTGATGAACTAAAATCTTACCTAGCAAAAGAAAATATAATGTTGACTCTTCCAGGTAAACGCTTACCGGGTAGGCATTTGGGTAAACGTCCCCTTAATGACTTCTACCCCCTCATCTCTAAGCACCCCGTATTTCGTCTTGGAGCGATTAATACACAATCTTACAACTTTCCAAGAGACATGCTGTTTCCAGCACATAAGCAGGACTCATTTAGTCCACATGAAGAAAAAATGTCTACTTATCTTTTCAATGAAAGAAACAAGTTTTTAGGAAATCTAATGTAGAAGTGAACAAATGCAATACATGGTGGTCACAAGCGGCTAAACCGCTACAACACCTCACCACAAAACGGAACAGATTTGGGTATAAAATCCACCGGATTAGATTACTTGTCCTCACGGACCCCATATTCAGGATGCCGCGCCCCATGTTTATGTGATAGAAATACTGCTTCTTGGTGCTTGATTCCAAGGAGATGTATTTTGTGAAGTACCAATTATGTAAAAGAGAACCTTTATCAAACTCACCTGAAATCGAAGCCATTCAAGATTCCAACCTTTCCATGAGTCAGATTAAAACTCGACAAATGCTGTTGAATTTGGAGGCAGATGTCATGATCTTTTAGCTTGAACTCTGCCACTTCGTCGATTTGAAGAACCGTCCTTCAAACTAGGAGACATCACTGAGTCCTCATCGTCTGTCTTTCCTTTTCTCTTTCTAGATTTTGGGGGTGTAGAGCTTGTCTCGTTCATTTGCTTGGTTACTAATTTTTCAGCGGATGCTTTGTCTGATTGCTTCTTTTCTACTGTTTTGTGACCAGCAGCATTCTCAGTGGCCAGACTTGTGCTGGACTCGTGCTGTGATTTAACGATTTTACTGCGTTTTCCAGGGTGGTTAAAACTCCAACGAGCATTTTCAAACCATTTGCTAACCTGTGAGTATCAATCATAATATGGAACGTTAAAAGATAATGGGGAAGTGGAAGATATACTGTTGTCTGTTTGATTTGAATTACTATCGACCTGAGTGTGAGTGAGATTCAGTTCTTTTGCCAAATTCTCTCTGGCATCCCGGTCGGGATACTGATTTTCCTTGAAGGATTGATAGAGGCTCTACACGAGGAAAAAGGGAAAGAAAATTACCATCTTAAAATTGAATATGGCAATAGCAATACGGAAAATTGATGACTCATGACCCCACAACAAATAAAGACTAGGCCTTGGAGCTCCTGCCCATACATCGCCGGTTCGAGTCATCTTAGGGCCACTGGGAATTTTCCTGGCTGTTCTCTTCAGGGCCATAGGATTAGTCGAGGCGCACACAAGCTGGCCCAGTTACTCATGGTTACCAAAAACAATATAAGCATTTATTCCAAAGTACAAATTGCCAAAGGTACGGTCCTCTTTCCAAAAAAAAACATATATCTGAACAGCTCAATATTTTCATCCATAGAGCATAGCAGGTTTCACCACCTACAACTTCAGTGGGAATGCATAAGGCCACTTCACCCACTATTTTCGTCTTATGACTATGCACTCATCTATCTTCGGTTCAAATTGTAACATAGAATATGAATAATAGGAATTTCATGTATTTTGTCTTGAAATGACTTGATGCAAGGACGATTGACTTTTTTAATAATTGGACTTGTGCAAACAAACAATTTTTCTTGCAAAAGCAAACACTATACTTCGCTACAATGAGGGGTTTTAGACAAGACACATCAAGTAGGATGGTTTTTACAGTTACGTTTCACAAGTTAACCAAATTCGCACAATTTTCAAAAAAAAATTGTATTTCACAAGAATGAAAAAACCAAGTTCGATGGTTGGAAAAGATAGTCACTCCTTAATCTGATATACTTAAGAGATAAAGTGCTTATCAATTACTTTTTGTGTCAAAATCCCACCAAATTTTATCCGCTACCATGACATTGAGCATCCACCAAATTGTTCTCCTATATTTGAAGTATATAATATCTATTAATCTATATACGGCAAATACTCATGCACACTCCGCACCTTTGGTGAGATTTGAACCATCGACCTCCTGAAAGGTTGGGCTCTACCAGTAACCTAGGTACCCTGGGTCAATAACCCTTTGATAATTGTTTCTCCTTTTATGTCTATCTAGTTATCTTTCTTAAAGTTTTCGTGCAAGCATGCCTATTTATCTTTCTCAAAGATTTATTCGCTTCACGTACCCAACTCTATGCATAAACCTCCAAGAATGTCATCAAAAGGGTTATTGAATTATCGTACATTTCATAAAATGTCTGCTAGAGCAACTTATCAAGATAATAGTGCCATCTTTCGATAAGATTGACTTAACTAATCATGTTTAGTTCTCAACCTCCACATGTTTTGCAAGTCTAGGTTATTTCTATTTACTATCTTGGTTGATATGTAGAATTCCCCCACTTTTCAGTTACTGTCTATGGTGCAAAGTCCTTGCATGGTGCCCATAGTTTCCCGTAACATTTTATTAGCTTTCCTTCAGTGGTAGTGTATACTTTTCGATATGCTCCACTCATACAATCATGCAATCACCCTAATAAACTTCCGTATATCCTATCTTCATAACCGAACGTCAAAAAATAATGTAGGATAAGAAATGTGACTTGCATTTCATAAAGAAACAATCAAAGTAAGTTGCATTCAAAAGAATAAATAAGAGGAAGAAGAAGAAATAAATTATAATATTCAATGCGTTCAAAATTAAATGAGCCGTTTTGGTTTTTGGTTGTCCCAAAACATACAAGTCTTATGGTTGTTGCAATTTTTAAGCAATAGTAAACACGCAACAGAACATCAACTACAACATATACTTTTTTACTTGATAAGCATTTCTGGTTACTCAAATCAGTGTCACTCAATGTGTTTTCTATCAAATTTCAAACATAATAGCTCACCATGTCTATATGATCTATGAAAGCATAACTTTTTAGATGTTTAGTAACAAAATAAGTCCCAATTATATAATGCATATTGTCCCAAAAGACGATTTCCACTTCACACTTTTTCTTAACACCCAGAATTCTGTTTTCTAATCTGACAAAGATTCTAAAAAGATAAACTTGATGGTCCTAAAGTACCATTTCTAGATAAAGACTAATTTAGTTAACCTGTAATCATTCATGTACAAATTGTCCAAAAGGTTGTCTTCATCTTTTTTCTAAATTTTTGAAGGTAGTAATGTAGCATAATAGTGTCTTACGGTGTTTACATATCAAATTTTACTTTTTAAAATTTATGCAGCTCCTTTATTATGGGATACTGAGAGCAAAAAGAAATGTGTGCTTTGGAGGGAAGTATCATTATTTCCAATGAAAAAAACTGTGAAGATGCTTGATCAAACACCATATCACAAGTAGATTATTATGCAAAAGTAAAATAAGATATGGAACTCACACGAAAATCCAAGACACATGGCTGTAAAAAATGAATTTATATTATTGAATGACAAGAATTGTGAAGATACCTCAGTAGCAGCTTCCCCAAGTCTTCTATATGATGATTTAGTACCACTTCTATCACTTGAACCAGGTGCAGATGAACCCACATGTGCTGGAGAACTACTTATGCCCTCAACGTCTAGCTTCTTATTGGTTCTTCTTACAGGGGTAAATACACTTATTTTCTGTTGTTGGTTGAAATCCACATCCTTTGCTCCTTTAGTATTTTTCTGTTTCCTTGGTGCTTCAGTATCTAAAAATTCCTCATCACTTGAATCTGAGGATGCATTTCCATATGTCTCCTATATAAATGAGGGCAGCCGAACCAAAATAAGCCAAACATGGAAGGGAAAGACAAACGGAGGGCACATGAGAGAAAGCAACGTAAATATATGTGGATTTACTCCATCCAATAATTTTCAATGCAGAAAAGAGAGTAAGTAAACAGTAAACAACGTCATAATGCATGCAGAAGCCAAAGGTAAACCAAATTATATGACAGATGAAATTGCATTGTTTTCTTAAGAGGCTAGTATCAAAAAAGGGGTGTGACCAAAGACTCTGTAGGTATGGAAGGATAGATAGGTTAGAAGTTCTGAAGAAAATGCCACGGAACCTATACTTGGGGAGAAATTTTTTATCCCAATATACCATATAGTTATCCACAAATGGCTGATAGTAATATAACTAAGGCAGGGAAAGTAACCATATTTAGATGGATAAAAGTCTATAACGGAAGAGAAACTTGAAAAATGGAGTCAACCTTTTATGATGCAATAAGAATATAACAATGGATAATGACCAACATGGAGCAACCATAAAACTGTAAATTCCTGAAAACTGTAAATTCCTGGAAACTATCTAAGAGCATATTAAATTAGTAAAAGTTGCACAACACCGACGGGTGAAGATGAGTCACTTGATATACACACGTACAAGCATACACATTTGTGTTTGTATAGACACGCCGATTATCATACATACACAAACTGTAACCATCCAACAAAAAAGAGGCCAACAAAGGACACAAAAAAATCCACAATCCATAGAACAAGTAAAAGGATGGTTATCCTATTCTTATTGATTATTCTTTTTTCTGTTTTGGGATGTCACTCAGTTTTTGGTTTTTCGCTTTTGGGTCATAATGATTAGTAGAAAAGATGTCCCAGGTGAATGAAAGCGTAGCATTGGACCTTAGCCCAAGCTTATGCATTTTTGACTGTGTAATGATGGACTGTTCAAAGCATAGCTGTACCTACCTGTTCTTTTTTTAGGTCAATACAACATAATTGCGCTGTTATGGGAAGACCAAGACCTTCACTTTCAGATTTACACCCTTGTTCAAAAACTGTAGGAATTTATTTAGTAGGCTTACTAGGAGTTGATGCATGCAAAAGAAATTAACCCATCTATTTAATAGTAAAAGATTTATATTTCACAAGCTCATACTTGCGGCTTGGTCAATTATATTTATGTGCAGTCACACAAATTGTGCAGGTATATCAGAACCTCAGTAGCATTCTAGATGTGACTCACATCATGCAGCTTTTTGTAGTCCAATCTCGCAACCTTTCTCTTTGCAGTTATGGGGCCAGAATCATCATCTTCCATACTTGCTTTTGTTATTTCTTCATCGTCTTCAGGCATTAAGGACCCTTGAACTTCAGGTGATGTCCCTTCATTCTTGTTTATGTCACCAAGATCCTCTGAATCAGATGTGAAATCCGAGCTAGAACTTTTAGTCTTGGCCTGTTCATCTGAATCTACTCTATCAGGATTGAAATCATCATCATCTTCAGAATCATCGGAGGGAAGCCCCAGAGACTGTTCATTATTTGCAACAGCCCCCAAATCCTCAGATGCAGAAGAGAAATCAGACTCATCAGAGCTTGACTCCTCTCCATCTGCCTCCTCTTCTACCTTTTCTACCTCTGGACCATCAGGATTATAATCATCATCTTCAGAATCATCAGAGGGAAGTCCCAAAGTATCATCCAGCTTATTCCCAGAGGCTGCAGTTTCTGGGAAAACCTTCTGCACTTGAGAAAGATACGATGGAAGATGTCAAAGCAATATAGCAGTGAACCCAAATAACAGATATTTAACTTGATTAACAGACCTCCCAGCTGTCACCAATAGAAAGATCAGCCCCCTGTGAATCATTAAGTAAGTCAATGCAGTCAACCTTACAATCACAAGCAGGGCAAAGCCACCCTTCATCACCTGGAGGAACTGCATACCAAACACAGACAATAATGTTGACATTAAAAGGTTTGGAACTTCCATTGCCTAAATACTGTTGATATCCCAAGGCCATAAGCATTGTCCTCGTGACACACTAACATCAACTGAAAATGGTAGTAAACTTGTAAAGTTGTTTTTTTAATATGCAAAGTTGCAAACTTTGAAACATGAAACTTTTTCCTGAACATTAGAGAGTAGTACCAAGCAATAGTGTGAATTTGAAATGCTACCTTGTTCTTTCAATAAAGGTGGATCCAAACAAAATTGATGGAATCCACGTTCACATTCACCATCACATAGAATAATATCATTGTCAAGCTGGACTTCTGTCTGTCCACATTTTGCACAGAATATCTGCCAGAATAAGAGGGACGTATAAGCAATCTCCTGAGTGTATGTGGTCAAAAACTGCTATTAAAAACAAAGTGGAAAAAAAATGAGAGAACAAGGTTATAGTCAAAAGGCATCTCCTACATCCTCACTGTCGATTAGCCCTTCTGAATCATATAGAGATTCTGGAATCTTTCCTTCCTCCAATGAGCTGTCAATGCGTTGAAATAGATCTCTTATTTTCAGTTTGTAACGATTAATATCTGATCTGGCACGTTCAAGCTCCTTCTCTGGTTTTATTTTTTCTGCGCTGCTTGTCATCAAGTAGTAGACCAATAAGCAAAATAAGGATGGATTAGTGAGGAATCACATAAAAGTAAAACAGCTGCCTGAAATTGAATAATGAGAGAATCCTCTGTTACAATCTCCTACTTAAAGGAACCAACTAAAGATGCAAATATCCAATCATTTATGTTGGACTTAAGCATTGGATTGTGATATTGATCAATAAGTACACTGACCACAAAAGCGTATCGGAAGGGATATTAATAGATCAAGAGCATGAAGCCAATATGATGCAAGCTATAGATCAGTGAAATAGAAGAGGGAGGCCACAATAGAATCATGATGAATGGAAGAAAAGAAGAAAATTGTTCTTGTTCCAAGATACTTATGATAATCCTGATGTTTGTGGATGATATGTAAAAAGACCCTACAAATAATAATAAAACTTGCAATTCCCTAGACCGACAAAGAGCAATAGAAAGACACCAACATTCTTAATGCCAACAAAAACAAGAGTTAAAAAACAAAGCAATGGCAGCAACAAAACAATGGTCGGAGCACCTTGAAAATGCACATAATTGCACACATTTATGAATCTTATAGGGAAAGTCATTAACAGATGTTTTAGCTCAATACAATTTATATATATGGCACAGTCTGCATGAAGATTGAATGCATATTGACAATGTAGCATAGTTCACAGAATGCACATCTTTATGCATGATGCATTGTCAAGAAAAAAGAGAAAAAGGAAAAAAAAAACATCCATGTTTACACCAGCAGTACAGGACTCGGTATCAAATCATTACATTAACCCAACTTCTTGTAAATTCTACCAAAGTACAACTGACTCATACTATATCATTTGTATAACATATATAAGAGTAATTCACCTTCACAATATTTAATTTCATAAGAAGACAAGAATACAAAAGGCAAGATAAATGGAAGAGGGTTCAATGTCTATGTTTTAGTTGAAGAACAAACCTCTGTCCTTTCCACCCCTCGCCAGCATAGGCCTCAATGTAGTTTTGCTCATAACTCATTCGAGATAGTAGGTATCTTAAATGTGTTTTTATTTTTGAAAATTCGTTGTTCTGATCTTTTTTTATCTTCTTCGTCTTCCTTCTCTTCTTTCCGTCGCTCTCAGCATCTTGTGCAGGAGCATCAACCGATTCAGGAACTTTAGGTTTCTCTTGTGACCTTGAGCGTAAGACCCTGGGACTCCCAGTAACCATTCTTTCTCTTTTTTTAGGTCGCCCTCTCTTCTGGTTACCTGATTGACTTAATTTCTTCGTTTCATTTTCTTGATTTGCTTCGATTTGCTCAAGACTTGAATATTTTGATCCATCCTCAGGTGGATGTCCCAACTTCGGAGGTTGGATCTCCTCCATTCCATGTTCATGTTCTGATGTGGTCTTCCTAGGGCTTGAAATCATTCCAGTAAGATCTACTGGTTCATGATTTGGACTTCCATTGAATACTTCAATCCTCTTATGATTTCCCATAATCTCATGATTCTTTAGGGCCTTTTCATCACATGCACACTCAGCATTCACTTCTTGATTTGATTCAAACACAACTTGCCCAGTGGCTAAGTTTTTCCTATCCTGGACAAACTTTTTTTGTGAGGAAACATCCATGGTCACTTATGTCACAAATAGATGTTTAAAAGCCACAACTTCTACTTATTTTTTGAAAGAGAACTGGAAAGCAACTCCCTCCAATAGATCCAAGCCTATCTACAATAACGAAGCAAGGAACTCTGCAACAATAACAAAGAAATATTATTACTGTATACCAGATCCACTATGAGAAGTCTATTTTTGTGGTAAACAAATTGGCAAATTCTAAGGATGGAAAATTATTTTCCATGAGGAATTCCCTGCTTTAAAAAACACACAATGTAGTACTACAAAAATAAAATGTTTATAAGAAGTGGAATTAACTTGGATGGAAAAGCTAGTTAACAGATGACCCTGTTTACTCTATCACTGAAGTATACCCCAAGCAATTAGGCCAAAAACATGTAACTGGAGTGCAAGAGAAAGTGATCTGGTATGTGTTATTTGCAGATAATACTGCGTCAATTGACAAAATGAAATGACCATGAACTGATTAACGCTACTCAAAAGTATGTTAACAATCCAAAAGAGCCTCAAGATGAAGCAAAGCACAGACATTGACACCTTGGTTTTAAAAAGCGCAATGCGGTCCGAGGCGGTAAGGGTCCCGGAAGCTGATGCGTGATGCTGATGCGCTCACATCACGCACGTGATGCGCCCGGTATTCAAAAAAATATTTATAAATTAATTCTACATATCAATTTCTACCTTAAAAATACTTACCTGTCAAAATACTTCATTTATAACATAAAGTAGTTCAAAAAGTGGCATTAGAATCTTGAAAAGTTCGTGAATCGGAATAATAGAACACACAAACTACTACCATAAAGAACACAAGTAAACGTCTAATAGTCCCCAATCCCTAAACTAAATGACCAAATGACCAACTAATACTCCCCAAGATCAGCATCATCAAACCCCAACACGGGTTCATCTCCCTCATTGATTGATATGCGAGTGCAACTTCTGCTTATTCTATTAGTGGTTGTCGGCTTCTTCTATTAGGTCACCATTCAGTCTCACGTTCTATTTTAATCAACTAAAAAGCACAACTAAAAACTAAAAAAGGGATCCCAAATATGAAACATACAGGATGCGCTAATGCATAGGTGATGCACGCATCGTGTGATGCATAGGTGATGAGAGCGCATCATGGAATCGCAACGCATCAGCCCATCTGATGCGTTTCCTCCGGCGCATCACGCATCAGAGCGCATTATGCGCGCATTTTTAAACCAACATTGACACAATAGGTTGGGTCAGGAAGAGCAAGGTAGCCATGTAAGGCCATGGTTGGAGAAGGTGCATGTGAGTGTTTGGGCATGAGGCACATCAATAGAATTTCAGAATATGCCGTGAAGACATCATAATACAAAGAAAAATCATCATGAATGCATATGATCATAATATCATAAAAGGCCAGTATCGAGATGCCATGTAGGCACCTAATTTATGATTTAAAAACCTCAGAAGTTGTGCCATCAGGAAACATCCATTTGAGACACCCAGGCACCCAAGTTCAAGCCAGCTCCCACACATGATTTTCACCCAATGTTCCTAATCTGGTTAAAAGAACTTCCAACTAAACTACTATGAACAGTGATCACAAACAAGCATTAGAGTCCAGTTTTTTCCTGATTTAACTTCTTTGACAACCATAGGATCACGAAAATGGACACAGGTCTTGGTAACTTGATTTTCAAAGTCCCCAGTTCATTAAAATTTATCACCAGCTATTGAGCCCCATCAAACAAGAAATAAAACAACATGAGCATATAAGCTAATATGCTCAGCTCGACTTGCCTAATTGGTTTGAACTTGTTCAGGATGCCAAGAGATCCTAAGTTGGCATACCAATTACAATAATAAGTCAATGGACATGATGCAAAAGTTCCATTTGTTCATGTGTGGTTTCCATGATAAGCATATACATTCATATAAACCTATTATTACTATGTGTATTGTGACCCTTCCCACCTAAATGACGCCCTGAAGCCCCAATTCAGGCCAAGTCTCACCCACGATTATCACCAAATATTCCTTATTTTAGATGAAACGAAAAAAAAACACTCAAATTCAACTACTATGAACAGCAATTCCCGGTACCCTCAAATGATTTAACTTCTTTTCCGACAACGGGGCTCAAGAATGCATTTCTTGACAAAGATCGCAAATGAAAAGTGTGCAAGTTCCCAAATATATCACGAGCTAATAAACCCCACCAGATAAAGCATACGACAACATAAGAATATACATTCATACATGTAGATAAATATGTGAGTGAAAATCAGTTGAGTAGCTTACCTCGTTGAAGAACAGAAACAGATCTTGTGAAATAGGCGTAAAAAAGAATCTAGGGTTTTGGAGAAGTGATAAATTTGGAGGGTGGGAGGGGAGGCAAGTCGGTGGTGGTGGTGGGTCTGTGGCTCCGATAGGGACTCTCCGCCGATAAAGGTAGATGATGTGAGTTAACAAAATTCGATATGGTGATGATAGAGAGGGCGGTGTTTTCGCAACATCTGCGCGCGATATATTTTCTCTTTCCCTCCAATCTTCCCCTCCTCGTTTTTCTTCTTTTCAAAGTCTTCTAAATACTCCCTCCATCCTCAAATTTACGTATATACGCGTATATTTAGGGGTTGTTTGGCAATTGATAATGATTTGGTGCAGAATGATCAACTGGTCAGAATAATTAAAAGGTTCTTATAATATATAGTGTAAATTAAAATGTAATTGTTTGGTAATTGTGTACAATGAAATTAAGGCTCTTAATGGTTAAGGGAGATCCATAATACAAAATCATTCGGAGGGTTTTATAACCATTAAGAGGCAGATTTTTTTTTTATTAAACAAGATTCGCCTCTTAACGATTCGAATGTTGCCTCTTAATGGAACTATTAAAAGGTAAACAAACAACCCTTTAGGGTTGGGTGTTTTCGTGACAACATATTTTTAGATTTGAAATTTAACGGTAAAATATTACAATAATAAGAAAAATGTAAATTTTTATAGCAAAAATAATATAAAGGTAACTTTCACAGTATTATTGTGAAGTTTTAGATGTAAAAAGATGATTTCACAAAAACAATATGGTCTCATATGATTTCAATTCTATATCTATATACATCTATATCTATACTATATTATAAAGCATTTGGCTAAAACTCTTAAAAACTCTTAAAACTCTTAAAAACTCTTAAAACTCTTAAAAACTCTTAAACCCATTCATCCCTATCTGATTTCATCCCATATATGAATTCGTGTAACTAACTGCAGATAAACACAATCAAATACAGGATAAACATCTCATTTTAAATCTAAAATATAATTAGTATAATCACTACATTCTAACATAATATTTAATTATTATCTTTATAAAATTTATATTATTAAACCAAAAATAAATTATTTTACTATTAAACTTAAATTAAATTATATAAAAAAATATT